GGCGGCCCTCCAGGCTTTCCAAAGTCCCGCCCCCCGCCCTCCCTCACCTGTACGGGCAGATGGCTCTCAGGGAACCTGTCCTCGGCCGCCTGGCCGGTCAGGCTCCACACCTTGATGCCGTGCCTGCCGCAGGTGAACACGTGCCGCGTGAAGCTGCCCACGGCCGTGGCGAGCACGGGCTCTCCGTGGACCAGCGTCCGCACCTTCTCCAGGGCGCGAGGGACAGCCAGCCGCCTGGACCGCTCGGGCGAGGTATCCGGCCTCCAGGCATCCTCGAAGTCCTCAGGGTCCCAGTATCTTGGGAGGGAACCCCAGGGTAACTGGCCTGCCCGCTGGGGGCCACGCGGTCGCCCTCCTTGTTGGGGTCCTCTTCCCAGGCCGTGTTTCCCCCCAGCGTCCTGCCCCATGCTTCTCCAGGTAGTCTCCCTTCTGCCTGGAACACTTTGCCCCATGAGGGCAAACTCCTATTCATCCTTTAGGGTCCTAGCTATCATGCCCCCTCCTGGAAGGCTTCCTCCTCCGTCTGGACTCCATCGGCCTCAAACCACAAGGCTGGGACCATCTCCATGGGACTCTAACGCAGCCAGGGCCTGCCCACTTCCATGAAAACTCCTCCCCCAAATTCCCTCTCCCCACCTCTCTGCCACCCAGGTTGAAAGGCAGGGGTGCGATCACAGCTCACTGCAGCCTCGACCTCGGCTCAGGGGATCCCCCTCGGCTCAGGGGATTCCCCCCCGCCTCAGCCTCCCATGCTGCTGGGACCGCAGGCGTGCGGCGCCATGCCTGGGTCATCTTTGGATTGTTTTGGACAGAGGAGGTCTTGCTCTGTTGCCCAGCCTGGTCTCAACACCTGGCCTCAAGCCATCTTCCCGCCTTGGCCTCCCAAAGTGCTGAGATGACAGGTGTGAGCCACCGCGCCCCTGGCCTGCCCCAAATATCTCAGGCCCGAGGCCAGTCACGTTGAGGACAGCATCGTGCTGATGGGAGTCCAGGAAGACAGACCCACGCCTCTGTTCCCTCTACCTGCCGGGGACAGAGGCGCAGACCGGGGGGGACAGAGGCGCAGACCGGGGGGGGACAGAGGCACAGACCGGGGGGGAAAGAGGCACAGACCGGGGGGGAAAGAGGCACAGACCGGGGGGGAAAGAGGCACAGACCGGGGGGGAAAGAGGCACAGACCGGGGGGGACGCCTGCACCCCCAAATCCAACAGGGCACTCACATTGGCTTCAGAAACAGGCAGGCTCTCCCAGGAGGCTCCTGCGGGGGGTTTGGGGGGGTCGTAGCTGCTCCAGCCTCTCCCCCCACCCACAGCCTTTCCGGGGAGGGGTCAGTCCGGCCTGGGTCTCACCTGGGCCATGGCCCAACTCGCACTCCCGTCCCAGGGGTCCTCACGGGGGCTGGCAGCTGGGGGAGGGGACATGACAGGGGCTTGGGGGCTGCACCGGCCCCCACGGGCAGGGGACGCCCACCCACCCGGTCCCTTCCTCGGTGGGCTTACTGGCGGCCTCGCGGGGGCTGGGTTCTGGTCCCGAGTCACACGCTCCCAGGGCCTGGCGTTCCTGCTG